CGCCCTTCCTCAGAGTCTGGTTTCCATCTCTTTTCACCTCTCTTACTCTTTCCACCAGATTGGAGTCGTGGTCCCATCATTTTTCCAGTGGTGATGACTACGGTCTGTCAGGTTTTTCCCACAAGTCCCCCACACACACACACACACCCCCGTCTCCAGTGTCCTCCCGTGTGGGCTGCAGTCTGTTGCCAGCAGCCCGCTGCCTGCCAGGGTTCTCTGGCCTTCCCTGAGATGTACTTTCTCCGGGCCTTCTGTTGAAATGGAAGTTGCTGTCTCTCAGTTCCTCCAGTGGTTTGTCACACAAAAGACCTTGAGACCTGGACACAAGGTGGTCAGGACAAGCGGAGTCCTCCCTGTGCTATCATGGAAGAGTGTGCTCCTCATGGAGCAGGGTGGCAGTGGCAGGGGAGCACCCCCAAGTGTATGAAGTGCCTGGGTCCAAAGGGTAGTTCTTCCTCTTCTTCCTGTGAGCTGACCTGTGGCCTGTTCAGAAAACCCCTCCTCAGGTCTCAGAAAGCCTGGTATGTGCAAGCACGGCCTGGTTCCACCACCGCAGCCAGTGCTGAGGAGGCCTTACTCCTCTCCTTCCCTGTACTCAGCTGTCACTACCCTTCCTCTCAGTGGAATTAAAATCCAAACAAGTTTCCAGCTCTTGATGGATCTTTCTAAAGGAAAAGTGTAGTTACTTCAGTGTTCTCGGGGGTGTGATCGCACCCCTGGGAAACAGATGTCTTCCAGTGGGAACAGTGGCCAGAGGAGAACACTATCCCTGTGAGTGGGAGTCTATCACTGAACCTAGAGTGAAGCTGCTAGTCAGCCTAGTCCATCCTCCATCCCAACACACACACAGTCACACCCTGCTCTTAGCGTGGATGCTGAGCATCTACACTAGGGTCCCCTGGCTCGTGCTTTATCCACTGAACCATCATCCCAGTCTTCAGTAGTGTAGAGCTTCAACAACTGGGTTTGTTCCATTTGTGTCCTGGTTAACTGTTCTAATCACACGAGCGTGCACGCACACGCACACGCACACACACACACCCCGTGTGCTAGACCTCCTTATGCACCCGTAATTAACCTTCCCCCGTAGCCAGTGGCTGAGGCAGTTAGCAAGGCCTCTGCGTGTCCTCTCTTCCTCCATAGAGCAGGCGGAGCTGTGTTTTAAGCTAAGTGGCGTCACACAAAACCAGGGAGAGAGGCTCAGAAAGCAGAAGCCATTTTAATAACTGTTCACACAGATTTCCTTCTCCCAAAAGAGCTGAGGCAGAGGAGGCCAAGGAGATAACTTGGAGGCTGGTCACTGGAGTCCCGTGAGAACATTGCTGCAGACAGTTTTTGTGGTGTTCTCTTTCCTCTGGCCTCATTTGGACACTGTCCCAGCTGACAAAGAAGTGAACATGGACATTTACTCTGCCTACAGTAAAAATAAGGTCCCTATGACATGGGTAAGTCCTGACTGTGGACCAAGTGACCCTGAAGATAAACGAAGCCAGACCTTTCTTGCTCCTCGGATAACTGGGAGCTCCATAGCGAGCGCTCCAAAGACCACAGCCAAGAGCACTTGACTCCTGCTTGGCAGCCCACGCAAGGAGTGGAGGGGAGAACTCCTTCCTGCTTGCACAGCTGTGTGTTTCTGCTGCAGGGGAGAGGCGGCAGCGGCAGCGGCAGCCGGGCTGATCTGGGACCAAGACAGCCTAGCACGTCAGCACGGTCCAGGAGGCCACTGACGTCAGCTGCAAAGGGTAATTGCTTTCTCCTGGCTGACTAACACAAGGAAAGTTACCGTGACTGAGGCAGAGAGGAGGCCGGAGCCAGGGAGGGCCTTCAGGCAGCCAGGTGATGGCACATTCGCTTTCCAGCTGGCCAGTTTGGAGAATCTGGCAGATTGGAGAAATAGGCAGTTCTTAACTTCAGGAAAGAAGATGCCTAAGAAGATGCAGGGGGAAGAGGTTGGAGTTTGGACCAGCCAGAGCCCAGGCTCTCCACGGCACTTGAAGCCTCTCAGAATCCCAGGAACTGTCTGGGGCTGTTCCGTGTTCCTGAAAACAAAGCTAAGCTGGCCAGAGAGGATCCCAATGCCTTTGCCAACCTAGTCTCAAGGACCCAGTTCTATGTGAAGGAGGAGCAGGAGGCTCACTTGGGGTCATTGCTGAGAAATGCTCCCATGAGTTCCAGGAAAGCCCATGTCATAACCACCCACCTGTGAACTCGGGGCTCTCTCCATCACTCAGCCTGGTTAATCCAGGCTTATCTAGGCCTCTGATATATAAAAACACTTCTCCCAGCTGTAGATCTTAAAATGAGGCCATTGTCAGGGAGCATACAAATGAGCAGAATTATATATGTCCAGGGCTTGTCCTAAGTAGATCTGGGGATCATTTGGGACACCCCCAAGTAGAAGGTAAGGAGCCAAGCCTCAGGGGTGACTCACTCACTGTGGGAGCTGCATGATGGCTTAGTTTCAGTAGACCAGTGTCTCCATTTCCAGATGCTTGAGACCCTTACAGCATAAATAAGTCCATGGGAAATGGTGCCTCTCAGCCAGCAAGATGGGGATCTAGAAGGTTCCAAAGGGTCGCCCCTCCCACCTTCCGTGTGTAGTCCTCCCGCCGCCTGGCTCACAGTGCCGAGCCAGCTCTCATTTTCTACAGTGCGTCCTGCAGGAGCGCATTTCTCTGTGTGTACACAACATGAAAATAACGAGCGTGTAATGGGTCCCCAGACGTTTACTACATCCTGATTATGTGCTAGTCACTGTAATAACCCCAGTGACAAAAGCCGTGGGCTTAAAGAGCTGACACTCCAGGAGGGAGGCAGGGACACAGTGGAATAGAACATGCAACACTGAAACAATGTCTCTGGTTAAAGTGTCCTGCTGGCCAGGAGGGAGGTGTGAGCTGGAACTGGGGCTAGCCTCAGCTAGAGGAGCAAAACCCAGGTCTCCAGTGCCTGAGCTGGGACCGGAGGGCAAGTGGGCAAGGGCTGCTTAGGGATGAGCATGGCAGATCAGTGGGGTCATCCTTTTAGGCAGGAACCAAAGCCAAGGGGTTGGAGTGTGAAAGAATTTGTATTCTATTTCAGACGGGAGCTCAAGCCTTAGGACCTGCCCTTAGTGAGCCTAGGCTCTGAATCCAGATTTTTTGTGGTTGCCAGTGGGATTATCTTCCTGTCCTCACACACTCTTGTGGGTCACAAGGAAGAACGCTGCACTGTGACTTCCTGTATAGGTCGCGCCTGCTCTGGCTTTCACCGAGTCACTGCCACCTACAGAAAGGCCTTCTGTCTCATGAGTGAGCCAGGCATAGATAGACTCTGCTGTCCCATTGCTGGTGAGCGGGGCTCCAGAAGGAGCTGGACACAGCTGACTGTCTGCACCTGGAACACACTGGGTTGTCCTGGTCCTGGTTTCTCAGCTGTCTCCTCTCCAGCCCTACTCTGCCTTATTTTGCTGAATCCTTCAGACAAGTTTGAACTCTGAAAGTGTTTAAAATGTGTATTAAGTGGCTGTGCCCGTTGCGGTTCTGTGATGAGGTGTGACGTGCTGTAGTAAAGAGAAGTGTCGGGAAGGCAGCTGTAGTAGCAAGTGTGTGTCCCCATGTAACGACTGCCCGGATGAGTAACGACATCCTCGCACATCGGCCCCAACCCTTGTCATCTTTCAAATGTAACCATTATCTGACTACATTTTGGAGTCTTTCCATGTCTGAATTTTGTGTAAATGGAATGTTTCATTATCTGGTTCCATCCATGGTTCTGGGAAATTTCTCCATACCGATACAGATAGCATAGTTGCTTTTTTCGCCTCTATGTGATATATATATATATCCATCCCTTTGTGAGAATACTCACCTACTGCCGATAGATATCTGGGTTCTCTCTTATCTTGGGGTGTTAAAATGTTGTGTCACCTGCTGGGCATAGCATATCTATTCACTGAGGTCATGGAGTATGACCTGCTGGGTCATGGAGTACGCCTACAGATCTAGAACTTGGGGAAGGGTAGCCCTTTAGGCTTTGAGCCTTCCTGTTCTCAGAGTCTGAGCTGCTGCCCATGCCTGTCATTCATATGTCCACCATTTCCTTGCTCTGCACCAAGCCTGTGGTAGAGAGAAGTAATAATAACACAACAAGCAGAAGTATGCAGAGAGAATGTGGTCCCCTGGTTAGAGTTAGTCCTAGTGAACTGCCATCCATCCGTGCAGTTCTGTACCCCATCATACAGGCCTCCAGCTGTTTCTAACTCTTACAACATTCTGAAGTGGGTAGAAACATGATTTGGGAGCTCTGTTCCTTGTTGATTTAAGATTGGAGTATTTACAACTGATGTCTGTCTGAGGCGGTCCTGTACCCTGAACCATACTGTAACTCTCAGTAGTTGTCAGAACTGAGTTAAGTTGGGGATACAAGATGACATTCACAGAGAACTGGAGAGTTGTTTGGTGAGGAAAACCTTTCTTTTTCTTCAGAAACCATGTGTCCCTGTGAGCCAGGGCCAGTCCATCAAACCCGCGTCTCTGGGACAGCTTTTTCCTGTGATCCCTTGTGTGCTCCAGCACCTCAGACAGGGGCCATGCTTAGCTGTGCATGCTTTTGCTTCCCAAGTTGTGTGGAGATCCCATTTTTCCATCTGCCTTCTCGTTCACCTCCAGGAAACCACGTGGAAGAGAGGCCTCCCCTGTGTGGACTCTCCTCTCCAGCATGCCCTCCTGCAGTGCTAAACAACATGGTACACACAGACCCTGAAACATGCTTTAGGCACGTCTCTTGTGGCCTACGTAAATGTACGTGCCATATACCCTGGTCCTGTGTTAGCAGCTGGGAAAGGACATTTGTCCCACACAGCAGTCTGTGTCCGTAGGGCTAGACGCCAGCATAATAGAAACGGGGCAGTTTGGACAGCAGTGCGGCCTGCATGAGAGAGCAGGCGTGAGGCTGAGGGCCCAGGCTGGCTCCCGAGGGCTACAGAACTTAGAGCTCTGTTGACTTTTTCTCTCTTGCAGGGGTCGGCACCAGGAATTACTACCGGAAGATTGGCTACAGATTACAAGGCCCGTACATGGTCAAGATGCTAAAATAATGACCACACCAGTCTACCTTTGTGCAGCATCCTCCCTGGCAGAAGACCACAAGTAGGGTCTCTTGAGTCCCCAGTAGAGGCCAAGCAAGTAGACGGACTGACCTGCATGTCCCTCCTCCCCACCCCTCCGCCCCCGTGAAATACTTCACCCTCCCTCCGCGGCTGCTAGCTCCCCGCTCTAGCCTCCGCCTACAGGCCGGAGCCGCCCTCCTTGTGTGCCCCAGAGTCACTTGTGGTTTGGAGGCTTAAGTGATTGTCTCGGTTTCTAAATTCTGCATGACGGCTGCAGGTGACCATTTGGGCTCAGCACTGTGACAAAAGCAAATCAACTCCCTAGCCATCGTCACTTGTCATTGTCATCTGAGGGGCGGCCTTGGGAGAAGAGGAAGCTGGACCTGTCAACGTGACTCTGGCCTTTAACTCCATGCACGTCCGCCCTGGCATTGAGAAAAGATTTGTACCGGAAGCCATTTGGTGGCTGTGCCCATGTCTTGAAACGTGTTGGGGGAAAGGAGAGCTGAGGTGGGGGATGTGTTGATAAGCTTGGTGCCGGCCATCGCCAGCCATCATGTCAGGCCTGCCCTCCCCCTGGCTGTCCCAGAAGCCTTGGTCTCACATCCATGCCCCCGACGCCTGCTTCCTCCAGTGTGCTGGGCTCGCTCTGCACCAGCCAGTTCTTCTGTCCTGAGCAGACAGGGTCCAGTGTGCATAAGTATCTCTGCATGCTAATTCTGTAAGGTGGGTGTTGACGGTGCTGCATGGAGACAGTGGAGTTTGGCTAGTGTGTAAAAGCAGGCCTGACGGACCTGCACAGAGCAAGTGGGCCTCCCAAGGCTCCTTCGTCCAGCTAGGCCCCTGAGGAGACCAGGCTCTGAGAGCCTGCCTCACCGGGCACCTGCCATTTCCAACTGTGTGTAGTGAAAGTTGTCCTCTAAAAGGTCTGAAAAATAAAGTCTTTAGCAGAAAAGAGGAGTCGAGTGGAGCTTTTTCTCCTCACCCTGTAAATGTGATGGCATTTGTCAGAAATTTACAGGTTTTACTCCCCGGCCTGTGACACCGTGTGTTTCCCTCGGGTGCCATTTGCCATTTCATCCGCTGCTGAAAGCAAGTGCACGGGCTTTCTCGGGCACACTGTGGCACTCCAGCCACTTTCCCAGATTGAAGTTTGGGGGATTTGGCTATTTCTTAGTTATACATTTCCCCATAAAATATAAAAGTATTAAACTAATAAAGCGCACACCCCAGCTTTCACACTCGCATTACAGGAGATGGTGCGTGCTGAGCCGGCCGAGGGCTATGGCTCCCTACCTGCAGCGTGCCTAGGCCATGTGTGTGCCTGTCTCCACTTATTCATCTCTCTCATTCACCCAAATGAATCAAAACACACAAGGAAGCCACCAGAAGACAAGCATGTGCAGTGTTTGTTTTTAAAGGTGGCCACTTAGAGCAAGAATTTAAAACAAGCCTGCCAGGGGTCCTCCAGCACCCTCCCCTTGCCTTGTGAACCTCAGTGCTCGGTCCAGACCCTCAGCCCCACAGTCCAAGGGGACCTGCCCAGCTCACCCTCAGCCCACTTTGGCATGAGTCCCTGGAGCTGCACAAGCCCACAGAAGGTGCAAAGCTTCCACAGGTGTCACAGCTCCTGGCCTGGCGTCTCTCGTGGCCACCAAAGTGCCTGGCCTGTGTTGCACTCGGTGTAGCTGACACCTTGACTGCTCCAGCCTCTCTGAGGCCTCTGTTGTTCAAGCGAGGCCTCCTTGTGAGGACGATGAGCTGCCGTGCCCCCCGCCGTGGCTCAGAGACCCGCCAAGGCTGGGACTTGTTTCTGAGCTGCACTGAACACGTTGGCCATGGCCTCGGCGCACTCAGGCGGCTCTGCTGGGTTCAGCTTCGGGCTACATCAAGCTGTGGACTAGGGAGATGCCTCAGAGGGTGTCTTGGGGTTTCTGTTGCTGTGAAGAGACACCACGACCAAGACAACTCTTACAAAAGAAAACATTCCCATTGTGGGGGGTGGCTGGCTTACCTTTTCAGAGGTCCAATCCATTATCATGGCAGGGAGCAGGGCAGCATGTAGGCAGACGTGGTGCTGGAGAAGGAGCTGAGAGTCCTGCATCTTGCAGGCAACAGGAAGTAGACTGACTGACTCACGGGGTGGTATCCTGAGCATAGAAAACTTGAAAGTCCACCCCCACAGGGACACACTTCCTCCAACAAAGCCATACTGACTCCAACAAAACCAGAACGCCTAATAGTGAGATTATGGGGGCCAGTTACGTTCAAACTGTCACAGAGGGACCCTTGTGCAAATCTGACATCTGATTAAAAGTCTCAAGCGGCAGCCTGCGTCTGTAATCCCAGCACTCTCACTGTGGTGGTTAGCTCAGGTTAGCCACTCTGGCGTACACACAACAGCCAAAACAACCAAGGAGACCCTACCTCACCAAGCCAGAAGATGAGAAACAACTCCAAATTGTCCTCTGACCTCCATGCATGCATGCATGCACACACTGTGCACGCATGCATACTTTTTTTAATCAAGCTGTGTCAAAAACATAACTGAAATTTATCTGAAGAGAAATACAGAGCCTGGTACAGCCCAATGTTTTTAAATTTGGGGAAAAGTCCCCTTTCTGTTTCCCACCCCGACAGAACAAAGTGTACTAAAAAGACATTTTCACCAGAGGTGTTGAGAGTGTTTAAGGTTATCACCCAGTTAGAAACACAGTCGTGTGACTCCCAGAGACAGCCCGAGTTGATTGATGGGAGGAGTTGATTGATTGTAGTAGATGTGGACAGGTCTAGAAACGGCTGAGAGCTGCAGAACTCGGGCGGGCCCTCTACTTTCCGAGCTTCGGTTATGTGTGTCATGTGGACTAAGTGGCCATTGCTGCAGGACGGCCGTAAGAGTCAGATGAGGTCCTGTCTGTCACAGAAGCCAGACATCATGAGGACAGTCACTGCGCCGATGAAGTGCCTTCCCCACCACGAGTGCCTTGGGCTGGAAACCACCATGGGAATAGCTTGCCTCCCTCAAGTGGTGCTTATGGGGTTCAGATGAGGCCGTGTTGGCCTCTTAGGACCACACCTGTCTGACAAGGCACCAGGAGCACCAGCTGGCGTTGCTGATGTCTAGGAAGGCACACTGTCAGACCCATGAGTCCAGCAAGAGAATTTCTTACCTGACACTGGGCTCCGACGTTTTGCTGGAAGGGCTCTGAAGTTCTCCAAGTGTCACAAAGATAATATCTACATGTGCATCCAGCATCCAGGCCACCACCTCTGTCATCCAGATGCACCCTCTCTTTCGTTCATATGATGCCACAGAGGCCAAGATTCTAGAGGAGCAGCAGAGGCATTTGAAAATGCCGCTGTCGTTCTGGGGACTGCCTAGGAAGTTGCCGGGTGTCTGCTGTGGGGCTGATAGGGGTGTCACACTGAGGAGTCCCTTAGGAGTTTGACAGCCTTTTGGGGTTGGAGCATACATATGTCTATGTAGTAGATGTGGACTGGCCCCCTTGGTTGTGGAGAAAAGATTGGTGGTTGTTTATGAATTACCTTGTAAGCCAAAATAGAAAGAAAACCGACTTTTACTGAGTATACTGCATGGAACGGAGGTCTGGGTAATAACAAGGGTACTGTGTGTGGTGTGAGGTACTGGGTCTCCATTCTGAAGAAGTGTTAGGCTTGTTCAGTTGTAGGGAGCTCCTTTCTGGCGTGCGATCTCCACCATGTGAATGAGGGCAGTCCACTGTGCATGTAAGTTCCTATTCGGCAATCTCCACCATGCCGAGGTCCTGGTTGTGCCCTGGTTCCAGCATTCCCAGTCAGCAGTTCAGTTGTCTGTCTGGAAAATCTGAACTAAGCTTGTGAAAATTCCCTGCCGGGACCCATCCCACTCTCCTGCGCGTTTTATAACGGCCTTGCGCCACAATAGAGTTCTGCACACCACCAGTGTGCATGTGTGCCCTTCCCCAGAGGCACTGGTTGGAAACAGGGTCCCCAGTACAGCAGTGTTGAGAGATGGGGTGACTCGCTCGTGCGGGCTGTCTTTCCGACGGATTAAGGTTCTGTCACAGAAGTGAGTTAGTTATCACACAAAAGGTTTCTGGTAAAACAGGTTAGCTGGATCTCTCACACAGGTACTTCCTGCAAGAAGACCCCTCAGGCCTTGGACATACCAGCCAACAGAACCATAAGAAATCTCTAGGCATGGACGTTTGACTCAGTGCTAGAGCACATATGTGATGCCCTGGGTTTGATCCCCAACACCACCAAAAAGAAACAAACACACAGATCCATGCTTCTCAATCTTCCTAACGCTGCAACCATTTAATACAGTTCCTCATGTGGTGGTGACCCCCAACCGTAAAAGTATTTCCTTTGCTACTTCATAACTCTAATTTTGCTACTGTTATGAATCATAATGTAAATATGCTTTCCGACGGTCTTAGGTAACCCCTGTAGAAAGGTCACTTGACCCCCGACAGGGTCGTCCCCCACAGATTGAGAACCACTGACCTATGCTCATAAATTGCCCAGCCTCAGGTCTTCTGTTACAGAACATAGAACCAACTGGGACAGGGTGCCCTGATCTACTTAAGCCGGGCTTGTGCATCTGAAATCCTTTGCATTTTCATTAATGCCTAGAATTAGACATTAAACATGGGGCTGTACGGTTCCCCCCAGTGGCTCCACCACCTCGCTTTCCCGCCCATGAGCCACCGCTCTGAAGGCTATGGGGGAGACCTGTCTAGAGTTTGGCCTTTTTCGTTCCGAGGTAGCGGCACATTCAGTTGTGAACAATCTCATCATACAAAATGTCAAGCCGCATGTTCGCTGGAGGCGCTGGAGCGTGAAGATCCGTTATTGAGGCCGGAGGTGACCGTACCTTGTCTCTCCCACCCTGATGTAAGGTGCCACGTGGTAGCATAGTCCACACCAGCTGGGGCCCTGCAGAGAAGTTCATCCTCCTGTCTCAAGGCCCCTCCTTTGTCTGTATGATTGGAAACTGAGCTCCAGAGGGACTTGATAGCGCCAGCAGCCACCAGCAGGGCAAGCAGGACACAGGCTCTCATCACCTGGGCCCCCACCCCCACTCTGGGAAGAGCAACCTGGCATGCAAACTGCTGGCCCACCCATGTCTACCTGAAAAAAGAAAATTAGGAGAGGGGAGGGGAAGGGAGGGGGTTGGGGGTGCTGAAGGAAGTGTATTGGGCGGCTGGGTCTGCTTTATAGGAATTGTCTCCCTTACACATGAGAACCTGCCATTCAAAACAGGAAGCAAGTTACCTAAGACCCCCAAACTAGGCATTGAGGAGTTGGGTGTGGGGGCAACAACCCACACTGTCGGACTTACGGAGTGGTAAGGACACCCACACCTGTGAGCCATGGTGGCTCTAAGAATTGATAACAGTGAGGATTAGAGCTGGCGACTGGGTTAGAAGGGAGTTAGTGTGGAATTTACATTGCCTACCAGATCACCCCCATCCCCCCTTCTAAGCCCCACTTGGCACAATCCCTGCCATGAAATCTTTGAGGGGAAAAAAAAACCCTCCATAAAGACTTGCACCAAGAAAAGCGGCTGGATGTGGAAGGTGGGAGGGGACGATGCAGAGAGAGCCCTCAGCTGTGAGTCGCTGGCCCAGTCAGAGAACCAGCTCCGAAGCCGTTGTCGCAGGGAGTGTTGGGCATTTCTGGGAACTGAATACACATCAAACTTTGTCCCCTCCCGAAGCACACAAGGTGATGGTCTCCACACGAGGGAGCAGGCAGAATCAAGAGCCTAGCATGGGGCTGGGCTTGTGTAAACAGCAGTAACATGCAGTACGCCTTCCTCAGCCTGCCCCGTGAACAGCATCCATACAAACAAGACTAGACTCCGCTTTACATGGGAAAATAAATAGAATCGTATTGGACCTTTCTTGTTTTAACCATGTGTAACCCCATTTGAAGGCGCACATGTTCTT